TGTTTGTAATAGCCAGAACCTGGAAACAACCTAGATGCCCTTCAATTGAAGAATGGATGAAGAAAGTATGGAATATATACATATTAGAGTACTACTCAGCAGTAAAAAAACAAGGACTTCTTGAAGTTTGCAGGCAAATGGATGGAAATAGAAAACACTATCCTGAGTGAGGTAAGCCAGACCCAAAAAGAGGAACATGGGATGTACTCACTCATATTTGGTTTCTAGCCATAAATAAAGGGCATTGAGCCTATAATTCGTGATCATTGGTGTTTTTTATCTTAACCATTCTGACTGGTATAAGATGGTGTCTCAGAGTCATTTTGATATGCATTTCCCTGATGGCTAAGGATGTTGAACATGTCCTTAAGCATTTTTTAGCCATTTGAGACTCTTCTGTCGGAAATTCTCTGTTTAGATTTCTACCCAATTTTTAAATTAGATTGTTTGGTATTTTGATATCTGATTTCCTTATATATGTTGGTGTTCAGTCCCCTGTATGTTGTGGGGTTGATGAAGATCTTTTCCCATTCAGTAGGTTGCCTTTTTGCCATGACTGCTTTCTTAAGTTAAGCATTCTCCCTCTATGATGCTAAAATATTACATTTGAATGTTTAACCAAGTCTATTTTTTATTTCTGCTATATTTCAGAACTTTTAAGCAATTTTTCATCCTATATGGCTTTTTTTTTTATCAAAAGTTCAGCTTACAGTGAGAGGGGTTGTCTGCTGGCCTCCTACACTTACATCATGAACTCAAGAGACAGACTCTAGACACAAATTCCAGGAGTGGTTAAGTTAAAGTCAACTTCTGTTTTCTGAATTTCTCTTGTGTGGCCTTCAGCTTAATCATTCAGCAACCTTTAGTCATTATCTCCTAAGGGCTTCTACTTCCAGTTATATTTGAGTTACATATTTTATGAGAAAGCTATAAAGCCTCTTTCTTAGTGGAGATGTCTCCACACTAGAGTCAAGTCAATGTCTGTGGAGATGTCATGGACCAACACAATCATCAAAGTAAATATCTAAATAGAGTTAGATCATTCAGGGCGTGTCCCTGGACTTCAGAGTGAGGTCAGTTCCACCCAAAACTGAAAGTTACTGTCAATTCAGGTTGTAGGGAATGCTGGCGAGGCAACTGCAGTGTTCTTGTACATTGTTAATATGTTCTGATAAGGGATTCTTGAAGATATATTCAAATAAAAGGAAGTAGATTATCTGTAACATATTAAAGCAGAATTGATGAAAAATGGCCAAACAGCTGTAGTGACACATCTGAATTTGAACCCCCCAGATCTGCCAATTTGTCCTTTCTTTTCATGTCTCTACTTTATAGTTTCCCAAGGTCCTTTGAAGAACAAAAGTTTCTAATTCAAGTCTCCATTGTGTTGGGACATGTGTAACTTCTAGAAACTGATAGAAATAGAGTCTGAAGATTTGAGCTTCAAGTACAGTAAAGCATAAATTAATCACAATGTTTCTTTTTTTGTTTTTGTTTTTACTTGCTAGACTGTAATACTGATGTCAGCCAAAATCAAGAGCACTTTTTTCTGTGCTGAAACCGATCTGGCTCATCCCCCTTCCCATGAGGTGGCTGCAGTTGAGATTTTATGGAAAATACCCACAATAGGGATTGAAATTGTAATCTCGGCAGTTTTGAGGAGGACTGTGAGTAAAAAATATCAAATTGAGTATGCTTGCACATGCCTCTAATTCTGAAAGTTGGGAGGTGAAAATAGGAAAATAAATTCAAAGTCAGATTTGGCTTTATAAGTTAGAAGCCAGCCTACAGGATGTGAGACACTGTGAAGAAAGAGAGAGACAGAGGGGGGAAGGGATGGAGGGAGAAAGGAAGAAAGGGAAAAAGAAAATTAAGTATTAAATAATCTTCCATCCTTAAATCTCACAAAGCAGTAGAATAGGAGAAAAAGAAAAAGGATTGAGTTTCTGGTATCAGCTTTGGAAGAATGACCATAGGAGCTGCAAATCAAAGAATGTCTAAGGAAATACATTTATTCATAAAGATCTAGAACATGCCATAGTGAATTTACAGAGATGGCAGACAGGATTGGGACAGGTGCCCAGCTTTCTCATGGATCGTGCCATGACAGAAAGATTGCATTTCGTCTGCTCATTCTCTCCTGGGTTCTCAAGTGAAGCTCTCAGTCTTTGGTGATTTAAGGCTGAGTGCTCAGGTTCTCCGAATCACTTCCATCAGGAGCTATTCCCGATTCCGCAGAATTAGGAGGTGAAGAAACTGCCTAGAAAATGAGACATCGGTTCTCAAGAAGTGGGTCATCATCTCCCCTCTCCACTCCATCCCTTCTCAAAGTCATCATGATCACTATCACAGATCCAAAGATATTCCTTCACTGGTGATTATCCTATTAAACACTGAAGGATGATTATATCCATATGGATCAGGAGACAATGAAAACATTTTTAGCTTCATTTATATAAGTTGCTGCTACATATATGAGGTTCCAGAACTGAATATGGAGATTGTGCAGGGAAAGTCAATAAAAATCAAATGTATAACCTTCCCAAGGTGTTTCTGGCCTTGCTTGCCCGTTTTGAGTTGTATTGCCTTCACTGAAGGCTTGGTTCTGACTTGGTATGGCTGCTGCCACACCACAAAATGCCAGTGGGTGCTGCTCAGATCGAATACCCTTTGTATGTTGTGAATGGCAGCAACCTCTTTTATAAAAGCATAGTAGTGTAATTACAGAAACCAAATACCTGTAATATTTTTCTACTATTCTTCCTTAGCACATAAGCAACAAATTAGCACATATTTGGGTTGTTTCATGATAAACTGTTTGGTTTTAAAATTTACTGTTTGAATTGTTGACATGTTTCATGAAACATTGTTGAATGAACTTTGACTCAGGATTAGGCTAGAATTTCCAGCAGTTTTCGGAGTGGCCGTAAACATAGTAAACACATGTCTGTCACTTTGTACTATATGTACTCTTCTCGGCCTTGAGAATAATAAAATCAGAGCATTAATCAACTCTCAGAAACAAGATAATCTCCATCCTGCAGTATCCAATATATAGCCAAGGTTTAATTATTATGGAAAAATAATCATGCACATTTATTTCATTAATATGCAAGTTTGTGTTGGTCTTTAATAAGTGGTAAAATTACATACCAACTAATTGTTTTAAATAAATTTCTTTATTATTCATATCCGTAAATGTTTTGTCTAAATACCTATTTTATATTCCTATATATGTAAGGCTGTGTAAAACTTTCTTGGGCAAAAAATATTGAAAGTGGAAAATTTTAAGAAACTAAATTAGACAATCTAAATATCCAGAAAGAATATGTGGCTATCCTGAGTTATACAACGCAAAAGTAAAAATTTATAATAAAATAATTTAAATTAGTTTAACTGCATTAAAATGTATATTAATATATTGCTTACATTTTCAAATCTGAATCATTTCCAACCTTACTCCATCTCATGCTTTGATCTAGTAAGTAATTCCCAGAAGCCCACAAGTCATTACCATATAAAAGTTTCCCATTCTGAAAACCAGAACTAGCTTCATACATTGTGGGATTTGCAGATAATAGAACTTGCTCCTCATTTCCACAAACTCACCTCTCTTAAACCACAGACATTTCCTAGGCACCACATGACTGCAATGGAAATGGTCACAGCCAGCTCCAGCAGGGTAAGGATCAGCATCAGAGACACCAGGCCCTAGGCAAAGGATGCCTCAGGTCAAAGCAGTGGAAACATTCAGTGGGAAAAATTTGTCAGCGGGAAAACAGACTACACAACCTCAGCAGGAAACAAGGTGAGACACAAATTAGACAGAAGGTGCAGACACACAAATTGTGAAGAAGGGATCCACTATTCATCCAAAATCATGAAAACATCCTTCTGGGTGAAAGATATATGTTATTTCTAGATCAGCCTATGTGAATCAGTCAAGGGGAGAAGGAATCAAAGGAGAAAAGTTCTGACACTATCACTAACACTTACCAACATAAAAAGTTACATAAATTAATACACAGTTTAGAAAAATGAACAAAAAATGATCCCTTTGTGATTCCGCCAACAGGCTTTCAGAGGGGACGGGTAGGCATTTATATTAGAGTCACAGACCAAAATACAATGCTGGAGAACCATAACACATTACTGCAAAAGTTACCTTTCCATTATTGCTGAGCACCTAGAGAAAATATGTAATCAAATTTCTATGGAAGGAAAAAGACCATTTAATCTGGAAAAATTGACACAGATAAATACAAATTTAGGTGACTGAAAATGTAATAAAGGACTAGAGAGATAGTTCAGCAGGCAAGAGCATCTGCCACTCTTGCAATGGACCTGGGTTCAGTTCCCAGTACCAATATGGTTTGTCACAACTATCTGTAACCTTAGTTCCAGGAGATCTAATATCCTCTTCTGACTTCCTCAAGAACCAGGTATGCACATAGTGTACATAGATACATAATATGAGGAACACAGGCGACATAGTCACGAATACAATCTAGTCCATATATATATACATGGACATATATATGTATAGACATATATATGTATATATATGGATATAGCCCGGATGATAGAGTGTGTACCTTATATGCACAAACATTCTAAATGGCAGAATAAGCTGTGTGTCTCTGAAGTTTGTCATCAAACAAAGGTATGTGAAACAAATTGTTTAATGTATTCTCTCTGGAGAGTATAATAAATAGTAGTAATAATAATACAACATGATAGCTAAGCACTGTTTTCATTACTTACCAAATATTAACACATTGAATTTTATACCAATCCATTAGATGGGAGCTACCTGTTATTATCTTCACTTCAAAGACAAGAAAGTTAAAATATAGGCAGATTGTAGTCTATATAACTATTTAACTAGTAAAGAGCAAAATCAACATTCTATACAACATACTGCTTTTCTGTATATTTTGAATGGCTTGAAATATGTTATTAGCAGCTTTAAAACATACATCTGATGAGGAACCCAGGTAAATGCATAAGTCAGGTGACGGTGAAGACTGGCAGCCCTTGAGTGCCTGGGAATTGAGTGCCAGGTGTACAGAGAGGAAAGCAGTTCCAACAAATGCAATGGTCGCACTGGCAATGTTCATCCCAAAACTGTTTTGCATCTAAAACAAACAAAAAAGTCCATTAATGTATGTAGAACATGATTTAACACCTTAGCAACATTCCATTTAAAGAGGTATTTATTTGCACACCTAACAGCATTCTAGATGCATTGCAAGCACCCATAAGCAAAGATTCCTCCATGGTGCAATCCAGCAAAGAAAGACAAAGAAGAGGCTGATGTACACAGCTCAGTTGGTAAAATGCTTGCCTAATGTATAAAAGCCCTGGAATCAATCTTTAGTATTGTATAAACTGGGTGTCTTTGAGGATGCTTGTAATTCCAGAGATTAAGAGATTAAAATTCAAAGCTATCTTGTAATATATGAGACCCTATCTCAATTTAGATAAGACTCCAAGAATAGTGGAGAGGGTGCCTGAACTGGCCTTCCCCTGTAATCAGATTGGTGACTACCCTGTCATCACAGAGCCTTCATCCAGTAATTGATGGAACCAGATGCAGAGATCCACAACCAAAGACCAGGCCATGTTCTGGGAATCCAGTTGAAGAGAGGAGGGAGGAAATAGATGACCAAGGGGGTTGGGGGGGGCATCAAGATCATGAAGGGGAAATCTAGAAACAGTTGAACCAAACTTGTGGGAACTCATGACTGACAGCTGTAGAACCTCCAAGGGACTAAACTAGGCCCTCTGCATGTGAGAGACAGTAGTGTAGCTTGGTCCATCTAAGGAGCCTCTGGCAGTAGGACCAGGATCTATCCCTGGTGCATGAATTAGCTTGTTGGAGCCCATTCCATATAGTGGAAAGCCCTGCTCTGCCTTAATGTAGGAGGAGGAACTTGGTCCTACCTCAACTTAATGTGCCAGGCTTTGTTGACTACCCATGGGAGGCCTTACCCTTCGAGGGGAGTGGATGGAGAGTGGGCTGAGGGGAAGGCATGGTGGGAGGAAGGAGGAGTGGAAGGGATAACTGTGGTTAGGATGTAAAGTGAAATTTTTAAAAAATTAAAAAAATAAACACAAAGCAATTTATGTTTAAAAGAAACTGAAAGATTAGTGGGTTAAAACTAAGAAATATGTTGACTAAAATGCTAGGAAAATGGCCCAGAAAGAGAGCAAAAATTTCTCTAGAAGAAACAAAAAGAGGAATACACAAGATAATTTGTTGAGCTAAGAAATACTTTAGTTGGCAAAAAAGTGGCTGGGGGGGAGGGGAGAACTTTCACTGAAAATGACCCTTGAGTATTTCTTGGAGAAGTGAGGTTTTCACAGGACAAAAACTTAGAATGGAAAAAACATGTTGCTAAAGTTCATATTCTATTTTTTTAAAAGCATGCTGGTGATTCCAGGAATTCTAAGCACTTTGACCCATCATTGAGACAGAATTCAGAAACAAAGGAAGCAGAGCAAGGAAACGAGTTTCCGGAGCATCAGACGGCCATGTTTAGATATTCTATTCTCTGAAAACACAAACGGAAGGGCAGAACTAGATCATCACCACGCAGCTACAATTCCCTCACAGCCATAGATAGACCCGAGATTCCACACCATAAATGAGGAAAACAGCCCATGTGTGTAAATGTTTTTAACATCAATGAAAACTCAGTATAAAGAGGTGTCATTATGAGCTGAGATGATTGTAATCCCATTTTCCAATCAATTTCTAAGATCATCACAGGCAAATTTAAGAATATTGAAATGTAAGGCAGTTTAGTAAGTTTCACTCTGAAGAGATGTCATGTTCTTGTTTATCTCCAATATGCTTACAAAATAAAGAAGAAAATAACACTAAAAAAGGAAAACAATAAATACACTGCCATGTAAATTATGCCATATATTTTTAAGCAACTAAGTATCGAGGCTGATAGAATGCCACAGCAATAATGGAATTCTAGAAAAGGGGGTGGAGTTTGTGACATTCAGTAGTAATAACTTGTAGAAACAGGAATAAATAACTGAGCATTTCCCCAGATGGTCCAGGAGATGTCTGGGTAAAGAAGACAGTTCAAAGTCCCTGAGGCCACAGTGTCCCCAGAAAGCAAGGATGCCAAGGTAAATAAGATTAGGAAAATAAATCAGAATTTACAGAGAGATATATTATATAAAGCCCTGCAACTTATGGGGGAAAGTTTTTAGTTCTAATTCTGAGAAAAATGCAAAATTGTTGAAGGGTTTTGAGCAAAGAGGCAACAGATCAATAGCCTAAAAAGTGTCACTTTGTCTTAATTAAGAACAGGAAAATGAGGTTCACAAATGGAAGCAGAAAGCCCACTTAGGAGGCTACAGAGAATGCCATGAGAAGAAAGATGAGTAAAGGCCAAACACAAGCTTGAATATGAAAACCATTTGATTCGCTGAAATACTGGCTTCAGGAATGTGAAAAGAGAAATTGGCATATATTCATATTCTTAGTCTAAGAATCTGAAAGGATGGAGTTTCCATCAGCTTACATGAAGATGCAATCTCACAGGACAGGTTTGAGGAATAGTAGAAGTTGGGTTTGGGACCTTTTAGACTTATAACTAGAAGCAAAATTAATGATTCAGTTTGATGCTCAGGAGAAAAATCTTGTCAAAAATATACATTTAAGGAGTGTGACCTAGTCTACAGAGTGAGTTCCAGGACAGCTGAGGATACATTGTTGTTAGAGGCTGTTTGTTTGTTTCCTGGCTACCCAGACTCCCAAAATAATCACACAGAAACTATACTATTAAAATCACTGCTTGACCAATCACTTAAGAAGCATATTGTTAGCTAGTTCCTATATCTTTGGTTAACCCATTTCCATTAATCTGTGTATCACCATGTGACTGTGGCTTACCAGGTAAAGTTCCATCCAGAGTCTGTCTCTGGTGGGGCTACATGGCTTCTCACGACTCAGCCTTCTTTCTCCCAGCATTCAGTTTAGTCCCCTCCCCCACCGCCTAGCTCTACTCTGCCCTATTATAGCTAGCTTCTTTATTCATTAACCAATAAAAGCAACACATATACAGAAGGACTTTCTACACCATTTCCCCTTTTCTGTTTAAATAAAAAGGAAGGCTTTAACTTTAACATGGTAAAATTACATATAACAAAACAGCTATCAAGCAATAATTACAATTACAATATTTATATCTACTTAATCTTTTATCATAACTAACAAAAACTATATCTATTCTTCAACTCCATCAAAGACTCCAGAAGGATATAATATTACCTAAGTAAACAGAAAGTGCATTGTAGGCAACTTCCAAAACTCTAGACTTGACAGAGACATCTCCTGCCTGGACAGCCATCCAAAGTTCTTGTCTTAAAAAAAAAGAAGAAAGAAAGAAAGAAAGAAAGAAAGAAAGAAAGAAAGAAAGAAAGAAAGAAAGAAAGAAAGAAAGAAAGAAAGAAACAGAAGGATAGAAATTTTGCTTCTAATTTTGGAAGGTACTAGTTAAAGAACATTCACTAAAAATAATTTGTTAAGCCTGACAACACACAAAAATTAAGAAGCCAGCTTCTAAGCTTCAGATTCACTCAGTATTCATAATAACAATCCCAGACATGAGTATTCATGGTTTATCTGATTTCCTTTATTATCTACCACCGAATGCTTAAAGAAAATTGATTTTCTTGTGCATTAAATGAGACTTGGTTCCTCAGCTGGATTCACCAACCTCTGCCTTCTTACTGGTGGTAGGTGATTTATTTCTGCTCCTCAGGTCATATAGAAAAGGGGAAGCATTGACTCTTACCAGCATCCTTGTAGGCTTTCTCCCTGCGGCAACCGTCAAGGATCCTGAGCAGATAAACTGTTTAAAACAGAAAGTAAGACAGATAAAGGGACTGTGTGGTCTTCACCACTTTCTCCTCCGCATTCCCTCAACAGGAGTTACTAAATCTTGGAGAACAAAGGCTTGTTGAATAAAATTCAACTATTGAATTCTGAAAGTCAACAAAATGATTTCTAATGATATTCTGCTACACTCATAGATTAATGCCTAGTACAACTGTCATCAAGGAGGTGTCACCCAGCAACTGATGGGAGCAGATGCAAAGACCCAGAGCCAAACACGGGCAGGCCCTGGGAAACCCCACAGAAGAGGGAAAAGGATTGTAGGAGCCAGAGGGGTCAGGGACACCAGGAAAACATGTCCCTCAGAATCAACTATGCAGGGCTTATAGGGGCTCAGAGAGATTGAAGCAGCAATCACAGAGCCTGTATGGGTCTGAGCTGGATCCTCTGCATATATATTATGGTTGTGTAGCTTGGTATTCTTGTGGGCCTCCTAACAGTGGGAATGAGGGTTGTCTCTGACTCTTTAGTCTGAGCCTGGGATCCTTTTTCTCCTATCAGAATGCCTCATCAGCCCTGATATGATGGTTTGTACCTAGTCTTATTGTAACTTTTTTATGGCATGCTCAGTTGGATTTCCCTGGGAAGTCTGCTCTCTTTTAAAGGGAAATGGAGGCAAAGTGAATCTGAGGGGTGGGATGGGGATGTCTGGGAGAAATGGAGGAAGGAGAAACTGTGGTTGGTATACAGTGTAAGAGAGAATTAAAAAGAAAATGCAAGAGCAGGCTTTGTGTTTCCTGCCTCAGATAATAAAGAGATTATCACAGGCCTTCCCTCTGTTGTGCTTTGTGAAAGCGCACCTTTGTTTTCAATGCCAGCTGCATCTCCTGGGTAGACTAAGTGTTTCTTCCCCTCAGCTTCCTTTCCCACCTGATATCATATCCCCATGTTAACATCACTTGCTAACAGCTGCGGTACAAAAATGAACGATATGAAAAAGGAGTATGTGTTTGCCCAGGATATGGAAAGCATCCAAATTAACAATACATAGCTATTGTTTAATTCCAGAGGTCCCAAAAGAAGATTCGTTTGCTATTTCTGATAGCCTTCTAAGGAAACTGAGGGCAGAAGTTCACATTTAATCTCTAAAACCACATCCTTGATAGGATTACGAAAGGTGAAGCAATAGAAAGGACTGTATAGGGGACACACAGTAGGCATGTTCACCATACACACAGTAGGCATGTTCACCATACACACAGTAGGCATGTTCACCATACACACAGTAGGCATGTTCACCATACACAGAGTAGGCATGTTCACTGTGGGGAGGGCTTGGAAGGGAGTTGATGACTACAGGCAAAGGCAGAAAGGGAGAATGGGTCATATACCTTGGACTTGCCCTGAAATGCTTTAGAGCCAGAGAGAAGCTTCTAGAATTGGAATCAATGATCCAATCTTCTGGCGATGCTGAGGTGGATGGGACACTGGCTCCCTGATCCCGTCCTTTTTCACATTTTATTGTATGTGTGAGTGTTTTGCCTGCACATATGTGTAGTGCCTGTGGAGGTCAGAATAGGACATCAAATCTAGAATTGGAGTTACAGATGTGAGTCCTGGGAATCAAAGCTGGATCTTCTGGGGGGAAATCCAATGCTTTTAACTGCTAAGCCAGTCTCTTGTTCCCCTTCCAGTTTAAAACAAACTAATCACACTTTCTGAGAAAATAAAACTCAATGTCTGTGGAACGTCTGGAATTCTTTCTTTTTTTTTCTAAAATTCAGAGCAGAAATTCTTCACTTGGGTTGTCAAGATTTATTACGTAGAGCAATTCAGGAATATTTCAAAATTTAGCTCTTTCATCAAAATTTTTTTTCTTAACTCTCTCACAATTTTGGGGATACCAAATCCCCAGTACATGCTACACACAGTGAACTGAAAATGTACACAGTCTTCTATCAGACTGAGAACTGACAGCAGCCCACAACCGACTTTCATGATACAGGCATTCTGTTGTTGTCTTTTGTCCCTACTCATGCCCTTAAAACCGGGTTTTTTTTTTTTTCATTTCTTGGTCTCCATTCTAGTTTCCCAACTTATGTGCGCGCGCGCACACACACACACACACACACACACAGAGAGAGAGAGAGAGAGAGAGAGAGAGAGAGAGAGAGAGAGAGAGAGAGAGACACACACATTTAGGTACATATAAAAACAATCTAAAATCTAGGCACTCTGCACAAAAGTGAAAACATACAGTTTTTGTGTTCCTGAGTCTATAAAGCTTCAAAGCTGTAGAATTAGGGATTGTGTGTGTTGTGTGTGTGTGTGTGTGCATGCATGCATGCATATCCAAGAACTCTAAGTCCCACCCAAGAGATGGAACTGGCATGTCTATCATGCCCATCAATAAATGAGTGGATAAATAAAATGTGTCAATATGCACAATGGAATTTTATTGAGCCATAACTTGCATAGGAAAATGGATGGAACTGGAAATTATTATATGAAGTGAAGTGGTTCCTATAATTAGAAAGAAAGAGGATTTTGCCTACTTTTGTCAGAAATTACAAACAAAACCACAGCTGGTGATCTTCAAGGAGCATTTTGATACTGCAGCACCCTAGCAGTGCTGGGTGAGAGATGGTTTGTGGCGGGGGGGGGGAGGATGAATACTCACAAACACAGCACCCCAGAGTGGATAGCCTGTGTAGAAGGTGAAGAAGAAGAAATGCTGGAAATGATGAGACAAATGCTGTAAACAACTCAATAAAACACCCAGAGCCAGAATCAGTATTGCATTCAGGATCTGGATAGCCTGGAAAAAGAAGAAAAAAAGATAAAAGACATAATACTATTTTTATTTTCCTCAGAATGGAGGAAATATCATGACTTGAAATGGTTAAAATGCTAAGCCTGAATTAACTGAGCAAAATCTCATTCTAAAAAGGTTTTGTTTAGGATTATAATAGGACAAAGGTAAACAGCTGTTATATTTTTATTTTTTTTATTTAAAATATAGAATATGACCATTCACTGCTATCATAGGCGTGCAAACCCAGCCACTTGGGAGAATAAGGCAGAAACATCTATCTAAGCTACAGAATGAGTTCAAGTCCAACCTGTGTGATTTAGTAAGACCCCACCTTTAAAAAGCACAAAGGGATGGATCTAGGGCTCAATAATATTTTCCTGACAGGCATGAGGACCTGGGTCCCATCCACAGGACCACGGGGAAGGAAAAGAGGGAAGGGGGATGGAAGGGGAGGAAAGGAAAGGGAAGGAAATGAGAGGAAAGAAAAGGGGAGGAGAAGGGAGGGGAAGAGAAGGGAGAGGAGGGGAGGAGAAGAGAGGGGAGGGGAGGGGATGGGAGGAAAGCAAGGGGAACTTCACAGAACTCCACCTCCTGACAGGAGCCCTCAGAAAACACCAAGAAACAAGAAAGAGCCTTAGAACAAACTCTCCAGAGTTTGCTAGGACCATATACCCTAGGAGAGACTGATTCTCCATTTCTACTCCTCGGGTCTCCATGGCCCCCACCTTGTCTTTAATGACTTGGTGAAAAATAACTGAGAAATTTTGGAGGGAATCCATATAGCCTTTTGCTCCTTCTTATATAAACCTACTTTGTGGCCAAGGCTGACTTACCCCGAGGGCTTGCAGTACTCCTCTCTGAACATCCTGTGATCCATCCAGGAGATGATAACCAGAACCATCAGTCTCCTCTCTGTGACTGCCTGGCGAGGTACCACGTGCTGAGGTCCCCAGTCCTGTATGATCGAATTCCTGGGAAGCCATTGGGGGCTGCTTGTCGCTGGCACGGGAAAGGACCCGAAAGCTTGGTGCTTCCTTCTATTGCTTCCTAACAACACTGTTTAGGGTAGCAGAAGAGTTCGGTTTTGTTCATTCATCAAGATTACTCTCCTGAATGACAGGACTGACACCTGCCCCATCCCTTTCTACCCTAGAACTGCTTCCTCTTAGAGCAAAGCCTTCCTCCCTGCTACACCTTGGCCTGAACAGCACCTCTCTTTCACCAAATCAAACTCCAGCCCATGAGTCAAACTTTCAAGATACTTTTAGTCCTGGTCCAGTCTGAACGATGAACCCTTTCTGCCTGCTCCCGGGATCCCCTGAGCACCCCTTTAACAGTCCCTCAGTCTGAGCTTCCATTTTCAAGGTGCTCGTTTGTATCTCTGTGTGTGCTCATCATCTTTGTTCTAATGCCCCACTTTCTCACAGTTGGTACCCAGCTAACACATTTCAGAAGAAGCCATGTCTAAGGATAACAATCAAAAATTCAACAGCAGGCACGGGGTCTTTTCATGCTGCAAACACCACAGAAAGGAGGGAAGGAAACGGAGTCTGATTTTTTTTTTTTTAGAAAGAATCAAAGATGAGCTTCCACCTTCAGATAAAGTACCATGTTGTATAAAATATGATCAGCGAGTTTTTAAAAAAAAAAAAACACAAGGAAATGTAGGCTTGCTAACATCATATTAAGTAGCTCACCTCCCAGCCCTGAGTAGCAGAATTTCTGGGGATTTTATTCATGTCAGTTCCCAAGACTTCCACTGGAGTGGGTATTGGCATTATGACCCCTTCCATCCTATAGATTAGATGAGGAATCTAAGAAACAGAGCCTGAAATAACATCCCTAAGTCCACCCGGCAGGGATCAAAAATGGCCTCTAGTTATCACAATACTCTTTCTCTGAGCATGTACAGGAGCTGTCTCACTAAACCTCATTCATAGTTCAGGAATGTCCTCACACAACCAGAACAGGCCACCAAACTCAGAGGCAACCTCTTAATATAGCAAAGTGTGTGTGTGTGCCTGCCTGCCTGCCTGTCTGTCCATGCCTACCTTTCCCAAATAAATAGCTATATTATGCCAAAAATAATGGCACTAGGGTAACATCTACATTCTAAGGGCAGCCATCCATACAGCTAAAATTTCCAAACCTCTACTGAGCAACCAAATAGGAAACTTTTAGGCATTCCAAGAGGGCCTCAGGGAAGCACCTTTAGTAGAAAAATGGAAAGGGGGATTCCTACGGAGAAGAAACCTGTAGGGTTTACCTTGGAGGCTTCAGGCTTTGATAGACTCCGTTCTCTGCAAGTCCATCTCCTCACAGGAGAGAAGAGTCTGTCCCCCAGAACCAGCAGTTTCTTCTTCCTGGCATCTAACGAATCTCTTCCTTGTGCAATACCTCAGCAGATCCAGTGGAAGGGTTTTTGCTGGCTGCCTGGAAGGTGTGCTAATCATACCCATGTCTGAGGGCACTGGCAACCCATCCACTTCCCCCAAGGCTTACCCATAAAGAAGGAAGCTGGCAACGGGAGCCACCACCTTCTCGCTCTAAGATGTTGCTTCACGCATTATTGGGGCAAGAAACAGAAGCAGAAAATATGGGTGAGTTAGTAAGAAGGTACTGTGGAATGGGGGAAGAATAGGTCTAGCTATGCAATGAAAGGTGAAGCCAGGAAGAACAAATAGTGTTGGAAGAAGTAAAACACCAGGGCCATAGGGGACTGTGCTCATATATGCCCTGGTGCTGTGACTAAAATTGTTTTACCCGCGTGATAATGCTTAATCCTCTTGGGCCAAGCAAGGTTAGTTCATTCGTCATAAATCAAAACAATGGTTATTTAAATATATTCTGGTTGCTATATATCAACTGCTGCTTGCTGTGCAACTTGCTTTACGTACATCTCTTTCTTCCATCCTCAGGATAACCCATGGCCCAGATAACATTACTAAGTCATTGTGATGGAAGATAAAACTGGCGTAAAAACATAGCCAGAGTCCCTCCCATTTAACCGGCTCTGTCAGTCCATTGCCTGATGATATAAGAGAACGCTCCTGACAGGGTGAGTTATAAAGTTTATTTACCTCATGATCATAGAATTGGACATTTGGCACCTGCTGAGGGGGCCTTCATGCCATGTCATGGTATAGTAACAAGGCACACCATGTGAAAAGAAACAGAGGGTGGATGATCAAAATCAGTCATCTAAGGTCACCTGAGAAATGAAATATAACTGAGTATTTCTGTGAGTTTCCATAGAAGCTTAACTTGGGAGATGAATCCCAAATATGGGACTCAACATCCCAGGGTCTGAGGCCGTGGGCTGGATGAAAAGAAGAAAGCTAACATTCATCTCTTGCCGCTTCCTGACTGCAGAGAGTGACCAGCCTGCTGTCACAGCGAGGGCAGCCCTCGTCACCACACCTACTTGGCATTTGACCTTCAAATCGTGAGTAGAACTGAAACTTTACTTTCCTAAGTTGTTTTTGTCTGGTGTTTTGTCACGACAATAAGAAAACATAACAGACAGTCCAAACCCCATCCTCTAGGATGAGCCTACTTCTGCCTATACCTCATTCCCATGATACTGATGATAATCCATGCCTCACGTTCTGGAAGGGCTAGGGTGAATGATGGCCCTCCGATGCCTTGCCTTGCCCCATTGTATCCCTTTGGGGGATCATCTGAGGCTTTAGACTGGGGATATGAGGCCAGCAGACGCTCGGCGGAAGCTCTGCAGCCAAGGCTGACACCGGAGCCCAGAGCCAAGCGCAGGGACAGCTGGAAGAGTAAACCTAGACAGAGGTCACAAGGAACTGGTAGGAAGGATAGTGGCAAGTGTCATAACCCATCCCCACCTCTACTCCTGCTATATCGCCCACAACCACCCATGCACTGTTTTAGCAAAAACCATTGCAGATGGAATATCACAAAAGAAAGAAATGGAAAGAACATGACTTAAGGAAAGAAGAAAGAAACCTACGGAAGTGCAATAAAATAGATCTAAGATTTTTCTTTGAATTTAGAGCTGAAAAGTCATAAAAGGAACTTGAGGGTTAGTGCCTCATTTGTAACCTGAAAATTAGAGCACCTACTTCAGCAAACGGTAAAAAGTTCAAAGGACAGAATGCATGTAAAACTTTTAAGTCAGAAGAAGTGCCTTTTTTAAAAATTGGTTTTTATTGAGCTCTACACTTTTCTCTGCTCACCTCCCTTCCTCTCCCCTCCCCCCTTCAACCCTCCCCCAAGGTCCCCATGCTCCCAATTTACTCAGGACATCTTGTCTTTTTCTACTTCCCATGTAGATTAGATTTATGTATGTCTCTCTTAGGGTCCTCATCGTTGTCTAAGTTCTCTGGGATTGTGACATATAGGCTGATTTTCTTTGCTTTATGTTTAAAAACCACTTATGAGTACATATGATAATTGTCTTTCTGTGTCTGGGTTACCTCACTCAAAATGATGTTTTCTAGCTCCATCCATTTGCCTGCAAAATTCAAGATGTCATTAATTTTTTCTGCTGTGTAGTACTCCATTTTGTAAATGTATCACATTTTCCTTATCCATTCTTCGTTCAACGGGCATTTAGGTTGTTTGCAGGTTCAGGTTATGACAAACAATGCTGCTATGAACATAGTTGAGCACATGTCCTTGTGGCACGATTGAGCATCCTTTGGATATATACCCCAAAGTGGTATTACTGGGTCTTCAGGAAGGTTGTTTTTGGAGAAATCGCCACACTGACATCCAAAGGGGCTGTACCAGCTTGCATTCCTGCCTGCAATACAGAAATGTTCCCTTTTCCCCAGAACCTCTCCAGCATAAGTTGTCAGTGTTTTTTATCTTGGTCATTATGAAGTGACATTCTACAGATCAAAATCAGCATCTTTGAAGGCTTTAAACCAGCACATTTTTTAATAGGAAAACCACGGCTGTGATAACTAAAGAAGGTTAAATAGGTAGTGAGATGAAGGAAACTGGATGTGTTCCTGGCTTATCCCTAAATGTCAATGTACATTTAAGACACAATTCTCCCTAGCCTCAGTCTAACCGGCTGGACTGTGAGCCTGAGTATCGGGATAAGACAGTTTAGAATCATATTCCTGAAGGCCAGCTGTTCCAGCACTGTTCATCTTATACCCTAAGAATGCTGATGGGGAAAAAGCCTGCATTTCCTTGTCTATTGGTCAGTTTTCCTACTGCCATATTAAACAACAAGAAACATACTTGAAGGAAAGAAGACATATTTTGTCTCACGATTTCAGAGGCATCACCCTATAGTCACCTGCTTCTGTGCTTATGGTCTCCTGCACTGAGGGCAGGCTCTCTGTCCATGCCTGCCAACTTCGGTGAACTGTTCCTGTTGAATTAGGAGTGGCGGGGAGAGCTGCGTCCCCGGCACCCGGCCGCCCGCATGGCTAGCTTATGCCCGAAATAATTACACGGAAACTGTATTCTTTCAAACACTGCCTGGCCCGGCTAGGTCCAGCTTCTTATTGGCTAGCTCTTACATATTGTTCTAACCCATTTCTAATATTCTGTGTAGCCCATGAGCTGGCTTACCAGGGAGGATCTTAACCTGCGTCTGTCTGGAGTGGGAGAATCATGGCGACTCCTCAACTCAGCTTCTTTTTCCCAGCATTCTCTTCTGTCTACTCCGCCTACCTAATTTTCTGTCCTATGAGGGCCGAGGCAGTTTCTTTATTATTAA